AACTTTAAAGTAATTATATTGCTTTTAAACCTGTTTAATATTTACTTATTTGTTTGTAAATAGTATAAAAAAATCAGTATCTCAAAACCAGATAACACAGTTGAGACATTCAGACTGTTATCAAACATAAGTCACCAGAGAAGCAATTCAATCAATAGAGAAGTTTTTAATTAGCATATTAATGATTTGCAAATAGAAGGTGATTCCAAAGGACTCTAGGGAACTTGAAGACACTGTAGTTTATCTTCTCATTCTATATATCCCTATGAAATATTTTTACATTATTAATTTCCAATAATCTAGAGAAAAAGGTTTTGCAAATCAAAGGAAAACTTTAGCCGAGCTTGTGCATTAATTATCACATATTCTAAACTGGTGGCTCATGAATTAATGAGTTCCAGGCTCCTCCTAAATGGCTTTCATTAAATAAAAGCTGGACTTGGCTACGTACTCGCGTGAAGATTGAATGTATATGCATATTGGCTGCCAGGCAAATTAAGTTACAACATATGCAATTATCAACGCTGTGTGGGCCTTGCCCCACTATCCATAAACATCTTTTTTAAATTTTTTTTTATCTTTGAGAGAGAGAGCAGGGAGAGGGACAGAGGGAGAGAGAGAGATGGAGGGAGGGAGAGAGGTTGAGAGAGAGAGAGAGAGAGAGAGAGAGAGAGAGAAAGAGAGAGAAAGAATCTTAAGCAGGTTCCATGCTCAGCATGGAGCCAGACGTGAAGCTCGATCGCACAACCCTGGGATCATGACTTGAGCCGAAATCAAGAGTCAGACAGGCCACTGACTGAGCCACCCAGGTGCCCCTATCCATAAACATCGTAATTACCTTCTACACATTGCTAAGAAAGGGCTTCTGCAACGACTCAAACCATTTTTCCGGATCAACCACTTTCGCATATCACATTTCAGAGTGTACAAATGATGGCCTATAAGAAACAGAAAATCCCCCCAAAAAACCCAGATCCCAGCAAAAAGAAAATAAAAAGTAGAGACGCGGTCTATCAAGTAATCTTTTAAGTCCATTGCTAAGCTGCCATTAAGCTGCAATTAGGCAGCTCAAGTCTTGTCTTTATAGAGTTTTTGATATTTCTAACTGATTTGCTCTTAGTGCCATGAGGGGATGGGGGCAAAAAGGTACAATCTCTACATTGTTTTGCATTGTTTGCTCTCTCGCGCTCTAACCTTCTGATTCTTTTCTGACTGAATAACATGCCTGCCTGCTATTTTAAAATTCAGTGTCTATGCATGCCCTAACTCTTTATCCTTTTGGTTTACTTCTTGACATCTACAAAATGAGCCTGCATAGCTGATTACTACTTGCCATGTGGTACTCCTGTATTTTGACTGCTTACAAGTCAGCAACTTTCCCATATTTCTCAAAGTTGTGCTACACTGGGCTTTTCCCTCCTTGACCTATGGCAATTCCGCATCCTAAGAATCCTGTTTTTTGGATCTAAGAGTATGCTTGGAATATGTTTTTATTTCATATTTTTTAATTAAGTAAAATCTAAAATATATACATATCACTCATTTAAACTTTATCATATTCTTATCCAGTATAACTTTAGAATAAAAATAGCACATAAATTACACAAAGACATGTTTGTCCGGTATCATTTTTACAAGGGCAAAATTACTACGTTGAAACTGGGTTCTGATTTTTTCCACCTGAATAAAGATGACTTTCAAAACCTTAACACAACAAAATGGAAAGGAAGGGCACCTGGATGGCTCAGTTGGTTGAGCATCAGACTTAGGTGCTCTCTCTGTCTCTCTCAAAAATGAACATTAAAAAAAATTTTAATGGAAAGGGGGACAAAAAGCACAGATTCCATGAATGAGTCCATCCTCCAGTGAACTTTCCTTTTTGCCCACATTCTTCATGCAGTCAGTGGGCATAAAGCTTCCACCCTCTCTGTTTTTATACTATTATTACTATGAAATCCCGAATTGAAGTCTACACAGAGGAAAATGATTAGCTAATGGTGTGATTTTGACTTTTAAAGACGTTCTATTTTTTTTAATTTTAAAAGAATTTGACTAAAAAAAAGAATTTGACTTGCTCGGAAGCGCTTCTAGAAAAATTAAAAAATATTCAAGCATAAGAGGGAACCATGCTATCTTTTGCAGACTTTTGCAGTGTGCTATAGATGAATTCTTAATATGCAATGCATCATGGTAACAATAACAATAGTAATAACAACAGTAATAATAATAATAGCAGTTGATACTTATTAAGACCTTATTAAGCGCCACGCGCTGTTAGAAGTGCTTTGCATGGAATGACTTAATCCTTACAACACACTATGAGGTAGTTACTGTAATTATCCCCATTTACAAAGAAGAAACTAAGGTACAGATGAGATTAAGCATTTTCCCAAGTTCACAGCAACTAATGGACAGGGTCTGGATTTAAACCCAGGCAATCTGGCTCCAGCATTGATAATCTTAACCACCATGCAATCTTGCCTATTACAAAGTATTAAATGAGAATTGCTAAGTTATATATTCAACAGTTCAGTTCGTTGGAGTTTTTTTTAACTATGAATTTCACACAGAAGTCTATCCCTCTAAAAAGCTAACACTAAATATGAGCGGATCATAGTAATTTTAGTAATTTTGCATATTGAGTTTTTAACAAGGGCACACCCTGCCAAGTTGATACAAAAAGAGCTGGGTTATAGCAAAACTAGATGTTCTAGCATACTTGCAAACACTGCTTAAATTTGCATCACTTTAAAAGCTCATTACCAACCAAGCAAAAAAAAAAAAAAAGAAAGAAAGAAAGAAAGAAAAATACTTGACATTTTGGTATCTGTGATATTAAAAAGAACTAATATTTAATATTCAAGTGGCAACAGCTTGTAGAGTTTCCACACAACACCCACAGGGATCGATTTTTCTTTAAAATGGCCTTTAGGAGTCTGCCTTTTAAACAGCTGACACCTCCATTCTCTGTATCCCTCCTTCCTGCCAGCACCATGGGGCACACACTGAGTGCAGCAACAGACGTGTAATTCTTCACTGCAGGATTTGTCTATGCAAATAATGGAGAATATGAGAAATTAAGAAAAATGTAATTTCCACTGAATCAACCTCAGTGTAATCTCTCCTGCTAAAAATGAATAGATGTCTTTAGAGGGCTTTTCTCCATATGCTCCCTCAATCCCCTTTATATACTATCCGTGAAAAGAACAGAATCGTCATTACCTAACCAAGCATCAGTTATTCCACACCTGTACCAAGGCCACATAATGACAAGTATACGATTGCCTGGCATTTTTCCAGCATGACTAATTGTCACAGTATTAATTCACTCACCTGTGGAATTTTCAACTTCCCCAGCCTGCTGTCAAGAAGATGCATAGTAATGGAATAAAGGTTTAAAAATGCTGAACACTATAAAATATCTCACTTATATTCCAATAGAAAGCTTTCCACTAAACCATGTGTTTGGTGGCTATAATTACTCATTGCTGGGGTAAAAAAAAAAAAAAATCAAAACACTGGTCATCTATAAATTTACCTGTTACAATAATAGGAGACACAGAGAAAATTCTGTTCTTATTACCTAAAACATGTTTCTTTACCTGTATTTCTTTCGTGAATGAACCAGTTTAATTACTGTTATGTTCTACATTACAAAGCGCTGCATATGTTTGGTTACTATAATTTAAGAAATTTTCCCATCTCAAATAGTACAGTGAAGGAGTCATTTGTTAGATTCTTTTTCAAGAAATATGGAAAAGTTTAGGATGGAGATATGGGCATGTATTATTTTAATTACATGAAATATAAACCACTTTGTAACATCTTTGCCAGGCAATCTGGCCCAAGGATTTTTTTTAATGTGAGGTTACGTTCTTGAAAGTTAATATTTGTCCTGGAAAATTATTACTCACAAGTATAATAGCTGACTTTTCTGGAGATCCTGTAGCCGACAACTCTCACTGTGATATTGAGATATACCTGATGCACCTGTTAAAATTACATAGGCATTGTGACCAATTTATATATATAGGCTTGATTGCTAAGATATATGTAAAATTTAGAGATGAAAACCCAGGATTTCCTAAAGAAATTTAAATAGAATTGCTCATTTAATTCCTATATTCTATTATATACAAATTCTAAAACATTATCCTATAATGTTATTAAGTCGTATGAGGAAAAACAGCTTCCTGGTCAAGTCTGAGAAATCCTTTATTAAATGTAGGCTGGCATCGCTGTTGCAAAATTTCACTCCAGAAACTTCAATGTGCTAGTATGCATTTTGAAAAGAAGATGTGTGGTCTTTTCCAACCTTCCTTGACCCAGGCCAGTCTACCACAACCCATGGATGGAGCCAAGAGTCTGAAGAGCAGACTCTGCCTTGACTTATGCAGACACATCACAGGTACTCAATACATTTTAGTGAAAATTCAACAGTATCCACTTTCAGCTGAATTGAAACTGTCTGTGATATTCTTTGCCTCAGACTTGTTCATGAGGATATATATGCAAATGGAATCAGAAACACAAACTCGTTTCTCCTAACCAGATCTCAGCCCACATACTAGCGAGGAAAAGAGAGTAGTGAAATAATCCACTCTGGCATGTTGACCTACAGCAATGCTATTACTTAAAATAGGATTTTTAAGTGCTAGAAAAGGAGAAAGGAAAACAGCAGCTTCCTACTCGGCACATGCCTTCCATTTAGCATATCTGAAAGAACATTTTCCTCATTTCAAAATTGATAGCCAACTTATTTTTGTTGTTTTGCTATTGAAATTTCCGCCCTCTCTCTCCAGAGCTTATTTGCTCTAACACTGAATTTTAAGCATCTCTAAAAATGTTTGATATGTTATTATTCTTTCCAGACATCCTCTGAGAGCCAAGCAAAGAACATTAAGGAAGAAAGGAGGGATGACACTGGACAGAGTGCAGTGAACAAAGACACTTGAAGGAGCAGGGCACCCACTGCCCAGAGAGTGGACTGTGTCATCAGAATGAGAACTTACCGGTACTTCATTCTACTCTTTTGGGTTGGTCAGCCCTACCCAACTTTCTCAACTCCGTTATCTAAGAGGACTAGTGGTTTCCCAGCAAAGAAAAGGGCCCTGGAGCTCTCTGGAAACAGCAAAAATGAGCTGAACCGTTCGAAAAGAAGCTGGATGTGGAATCAGTTCTTTCTCCTGGAGGAATACACGGGATCCGATTATCAGTATGTGGGCAAGGTAGGATTCCATTGGGCACTTTGACATTCTGGTTTTAAAGCCTGAAGAAGTTACTCCTAATAAATAGACGGGGAGGATGTGAACTATTCCCCCAATACAGTAAGAATTGTTGCTTATCTGGTGAGACTTTTTTTTTTTTCACTTGAGTAGTTTCGGGAAGAAGACTGTAGCAAGAAGCTGAGAAATGTTAGCAGTGCAACAAAGAAAGAAATGCTTCCACTGAAAACGAAACGCCCACAACCATCCACATAGGATTATCATAAATCCTTTAATTTTTACTTTAGCTTGAAAAATGTGGTCCAGCTATTCTATAAAGTAGGATGTATTAAAAACAGGAATAGAGCGATTAAGCTGTAAGGGAAGGAAGGTTCCTTTTTCTGATTCTGAAAGCAAACATTCTGAGCGTTAGTCCTTTGGCCAGGTTCAAATTAACTACTTCTTAACACTGCACCCGACAATGCCATCCATTCTCTGACCAGATGGAGCCCTTTGTCTGCAAAATCCACCATATTGCCTTAGATTTGGTCGCTGTTATTGTTGCTGCTATGGCTGGTTTTGTCTTGTTTCAACTGGCCAGAGTCAGGCATTTCAGAAGATAGTGCTTTAATTGTGGCAAGGTTCACAAAAGAGAAACATGGTTATGTAAAGGTGCTATTTCCAAATATCATCTGACCATTTTATTGACTCTAGAAAGTAGAGTGAGGAGGGCATCACTTATTATAGCCCTTGGAGGTTACTGGAGCTGAGTCAGGGAAACAGCTCAGTTATACTGTCATCGTGAGTTTCACTGAAATGTTATCATCAGCTACATTCTTGTTGCAGAATATCTGCATGCGGCAGAGATGGGAGGACAAATAGACGCATATTTGTATTTTGTAGCTTCTGCGTTTCATAATATGGTACTGATAAGAAAAATAATTGTCACATATCCTTTATATGAACAGAGAATGAACGTAACAGAAATGATAAAATGTCTTTGTTTATGACTACAGCTATGATTTTGAAACAATCATATTAGGATATCATGCAAACAGCATAAATTTTGCAGATTCCAAGGGCTCCACATTCACATTTCAATCTGTTATCAAATATACCCTAAATAACAGTGTGCAAATATTCTCTTTAAGTATTTACCATTATAAATGAAGGAAAGCCATCCATGGCGTGGGCTGAGGTAACCAGGCATTGTTCCAATGAATGAATTATTAATGTGGAATAAAGTAGGAGAGGAAGTATTCAGTGGAGGGGTGAACATCAACACAGATCCCCAAGGGTTTAGCCTTGAATTTGATGTGAAACTCACACGCTGTGTGACTGCTGAAGAAAGACAGTCCACTTATTTGTACTTCTCTCCATTTCCTTGTGAAATTTGACTAGCACTATATTAACAGAGTAATGGTTGTAAATAATAATAATAATAATCTTACCACCTTTAAAGCACTTTCTGCAATACAAATAACATTATTGTCATAGAAGATTAAAATTTCTTAATAACTGATTCCCCCTTTTTCCTTTCTGCTTTTTTCTTCTAAAATTGTGAGGCCATTTTATATCAAAAATACCTCGTGTTCTTAAAGAAAGGCTGGGATATGTCAGGATCCTGGAAACAGAAATGGATAAAACCGCGTAGGAATCAATTTTACCATGAGAAATCTGAGAGGTCATATTGCCCCGGGGAAAAGTTTCGAGCCATGGACTGACTCCAAGTGGATCTGAGGCTGCATGGCTGCACTGCCACATGTGTGGCCAAGGCAGGTTGTTAACCTTCCTGGGCTTTAGTTTCTTCATCTGGAAAATGCAGGCAGTGAAGCCTGCCGCATGGACTTACATGAGACAGGAACTAGTGGCTGGCACATAGTAGGTGCATAAAGACAGTATTATTATTGGCAAGCAGATCAGTTATAAACACTCTACTAAATCTATCTGTAATGCACAAATATTGATTTTTATATCATTGCAGAAGTAAAATGAGGTAATTAAGGGATCTCCCAATGGATGGAAAAGGTAGAAGATGGAGGCAAAATCCCTTCCCAATCATAGCTTCAACTTAACGAGTTGGATGTAGGTATTTTATTGGCAGCTAGACCCATTTCCCTACCTTACCATCATCCCTACCCCACCCCCACCTCCTTGAAGTTATAACATATAAGAAGATATCTACTGGGGGGGGGGGGAAGCAAGGGCAATAATTGAAGTCGTCATGATTCCCAGCATAGCTGCTTCAGATGTGTTTAAGACTGTAAATAGGGCATTTCCCCAAATCTATCTTTGGGGTTATGCTTCATCAACAGGCAAAAGGATTTGAGTATAATGTGTTTTTATCACAATTAAGAATAGGCCAAAATAATTTTTTAAGGGAAAAAAATGTTCGTTCCTTCTGTGGCAACAAGTTGGTACACATTTTTTTTTTTTTTTTTTTTTTTTTTTTGAGAGAGAGACAGAGTGGGGAGGGGCAGAGGGAGAAGAGAGAATCTTAAGCAGGCTCCACACTCAGCGTGAAGCCTGACAGTGTGGATCCCACAACCCTGGGATCATGACCTGAGCTGAAATCAAGAATCAGATGCCCAACTGAGGAGCCACCCAGGAGCCCCTGGTCCACTTTTAAATAGATATGGAACAAAACACATACCTGATGTGATGATCTGGATCCACAAGGTCAAGAAACTTTTGGAAAAAAAAAAAAAAAAAAAAGATTAAACTATAGCAGAGGTTCCAAAACATTCTTGGTTTGCAGTGCCCTTGATATTTCGATAATTGTTTTTACAGTGCCCTTAGGACACAAGAAATAGAGCCAAACAACTTAACAGGTATTTATGTTCTAACAAATAAGTAGTTATTTGAAAAAAATACACAGCAATCAGCAGAAAAACCAATATTTTAATTTTATTCATAAATAACCACAGTTACTTACAGCATGTGGGCATCTCCCAGGCACTGTGCAACTTCTAAGATCAGACGCTGCCCCTCAGTTCCTTTTCCACATTGATTTTGCATTGTACTCTCTTATTATCACAAGTTCGATGGGAAAATATAAATATATGACATCATCGAAAGGAATGGAGCACCACCTACTGTTGAAACTGTTAACTTCTCTGGCCTAGTAATTCACAAGGAGACTCACAGAGCCCAAGTGTTGCTAGTATTTCCCTCGAAATGTTAAAATACTTCCTGGCACCACAGTGGGTTTCCCTGCTACACCCCAGGATGCCTCAGCATGCACTGTGGACAGCACTGGACTGTAGGTAGGCTGGCACTTAAAGGTGTACAAAGGCCAATAGAACCTTAAATCTTGCTATTAGCCTAATGAAATAACATTACTTAGAGTCCATCCTCTGGGCCTGAAATGAAAAAGATTGGTCTGTACTTGTAAAGGACAGAAGTGTTAATGAAGAAAAAGTAATGCAGCTGAGCAAGTAGCACTTAAAGTAGAAGAGTTTTTTACTCTACAAGCATCTGTTTATATTTGTATTCATGTTCGTTGTTTCCATTACTTTGTGGTAAGTCTGTAGGGACAACAGTGAGGATGGTGAGTGAGGGAAATGTGAGAATGGGTGGGAGCAGAGGGCTGTCGGGTGTGGAAGGAGAAAAGAGGAAGAGTCACATGAGCACAAGAGAAGACAGAATCCTGAGGCTCGGGTAACAATGAGGTGAATAGATAAGATCACATTCAAAACTTGGACCTCTCTCCGATAAGCTGTCTGAATGCTCCCCAGCATTTCACTGTGTCCTGTGGCCAGTAAGATTAATGCAGAAGCATGGGCGCAGCAGGGCTAGGGAGAGAGGCACTTACTGGGAATAAAAGTGGGGAAGGCCAATTAGAGCTGAAATATTGACAATCTGGATTCTGATTTATGAGAAAAGTCTCCACACCTCTACTCACCTAAAAGTGGTGGTGGAAGGTGTGGGCAACAGGGAGGGAAGATGTTGTCTGTATTGGGTAAGAGTTTGTGAGCTCAAGATACAGATATACATACAGATACAGATAAAGAATACGATTTCTTTTCTAAAATACATGACCATCTGGGGGCAGCTTGTAGCAGAGTTAGCATAAACAGCATCAGTGTCACCTGGGAGCTTGTTAGAAATGCAGACTCTTGGGGCCCCACCTGAGATCTATTGAATCGTAATCTACATTTCAACAAGATCCCCGGTGAATTGTATGCATATTAACATTTGAAAAGTGCTGCTTTTAAAAATGCCTTGGCCAGGGTCTCACCTACCCCGAAATTCTGACTGAGTTGGTTTTTAATTGTTTATGATTCTAATATGTGGCGGAATTTGACAACCACTGCTTCAGTTCGCAGCATTATCACTGGCAATGACCATAACAAAATGTGGCAAGTTCAGTGATAAAATGGGCCTCTAGAAAGTACTATGGAACTATGAAGGAGAGGAGCCAACTGGGCGTGGGGCTCAGTAGAGCTTTCTAAAGGAGGTGATAATATTGGAAGCACTCTTAAAGGAACAGCAGGTGTGAGCTCATACCTCAGAGGGAGAATTAGCAGGACTTCCCAATTAATTAGATGCAGAAGCCAAAAGAGAGAAAGGCAGAAGTTCAGACAGAGATTTCAAGACTGGACAGTCAGGAGAGTGAAAATGTCACCAATGCTGGCAAAATGGAAAGTGATACATGTTTTCATGTCAAGGGCGAACAGGAAGAGTATTTGCTTTTATATGATATCCATCTGGGTTATCTTTGGCTTATGTAAACTTAATAGAAAAATAAGGGGGAAACATTGTAATTCCACATTTTCAGAAAACCCCACACCCCTCCTGCCAGCTTTATATAATGTAGCAATTCCTTGGTGATGATTCACATATAGTCTAAGATTAGGTTCAATAAGAAAAGAAGAACATAGTAGAGATAGATTAGATTTTGAAGATGCGGCCAATCATTAATACAAAGATGAATATATTTCAAGCTCAGACCTTTGCACAGTTTTAGGCAAAAGATTTGCACCTGATCATTAAACAGTCCACAACAGTGTTTAATTCCCTGT